ATAATACAGAAAGAGAGGGAAAATAAGCTATTTCTGTTAACTAGACATTGACTATAATGTCTGGGTGCAGGCATGTCTTAACCTCAAATAACATTATACTAAGGAAGTGAGCTTCTGTATTGTGTACTCTGCAATTCATTTACACCATATTTAGAGTCAGGAAGCCGTATAAACACCTGACATTGCAGAGCACTGACACTGTACTGAGAAGAGGATGTAATATATACACAAACTGGGCACAGTTACATGGTTGGAAAAGGTACAACAGTATATATTAATTGACAAAATACTAAAGCACTACACTTTGTGAATGAATGATTCTACTGCATGCAAACTTAGTGAGGAGACATTGTAATCTTATTTATGTGTGTAGTAGTAATTCATCTGTCAAGGTATATCAATCTACTGAGTTTGTCAGCACACCTCCAACACAAACATTAATATGTATTCGAACATCCATGGATCGACACCACAGTAAAACAGTCAGAACCTCTATAAGCACATAAACAATTACATCTGTAGACAGACATGAACATAAAAACCAAAAATGCACTCAGACATGCACGCGCCCACATCCTCACACACGCTTTGGCATGTGCTGCTATAGTGTGACTGTATTGTGATTTTGGAGATTACAGAACGAATAAGCAGCATCTTTTCTCTCCCCCCATGGCCCTCTCCCCCCCCTCTCCCCCACTCAGCATCCTGCTCTTCAGTCTTCCCCCCTCTGTTCCATCACTCTGTATCGATGTCCCCCATCTCCCTCTAAATATGTACATATTGATCTCTCCCTCCTGTCTCATTCCCCTTTGTTACCACGATCAGATTCCATCCATTGCATCGCCCCTTTCATCCTTATCCCTAGTCTATCACTCTCTTCCATTCCCCTCTTCTGCTTTGGCTTTTCCTCTTTCTCTCTCCCTCAATCTTCCATTCTCTCTCTTTCTCCCTTTCCTCCATTCTCTCTCACTCTCTACCCCTCTCTCCCTCTCCTCCATCTCGTCTCTCTCTGGTTTTTGTTTGTCACTCTCTGCATATTAATTGGTGCATTTGTGCTGCGGCTGAGAAAACAATTGAGCTGTCGGGGCGGGTGAGAAGTGAGGGACATTTTTACCATAACATGCATGATCATATGTACACTCACATATATACATAAAACACACTGCCCTATAGACATAGAAATATATATTAAACATATATTCAAACATTACATACTGTACACTGACATAAATCAAATACAAACAGGAATAAAATCATTAGTCTAGAGAAACACACAGACACATGTGCAAATGTAGCATAATCCTGTGTCTTCTTGGGATACAACAGAGACTCGGATTCAGACCCATGTGATTGTGTCTCTGGGTATGTTTCCTGTTGACCAAGCGTGTGGTCCAGTCCCACCCTTACAAGGACCACAGATGTTAGGCTCTCCCCCCCAGGTGTATATTCTTCTAAACTACATTCTGCTGTTCTCAGAACCACACCCAGTTTTCAGGGGGCCTCGTGTTGGCTTCATTTTCATTTTGGCACTGGCTGCTCTGCAATCTCACACGAAAAATCCAGGATTGGGTCTTGCTCATGCCTTTGGTTCAGTTTCTTTTCAATCAGAAGTGTTGCTCCGTTCCTTCAGTGTGGTGGATTGAAAATTCAAAATACCAGTGTCATCAAAGGGTGATTGTCTGATTAAAAATCCCAGCCCAACTGATTCAACTAGGTGTTTTTCTGGGGTTCTAATGGAGTGTTTATGTCCCCTTTAGTCTTTAAACCAATTACTACTATTACCAGACACTGCTCAGGTCAATATATAGAAGGGGTTCAACTGAACTGACCCCAATGAAGTCAGAACTGCTTAAATTAAAATATTGCAAGATTACCCATAAATTAAGCCAAAATTGAAAAATAGAGGGGATCCAAACTTTAATTGAAATATTCAAAGTCCTTTAAAAAATCGTGTTGTATGTGTTGCACTACAATATTAGTAATACATATAATAGATACTGCATCTCAGAGACTAGATAGGACCGTAACAGTGAATATAAAA